TCAGTATTTCTCAGAACTTAAGCGACACGTAATATTGTGGCGCTTTGCATACATAAAAAGGTCTTTCCAAAAAGGTTTTCTTTTCACCTTAAAATTAGAGCGCACTTCAGCTGCGCGTGAATTTGCCACGAGACAAAATCACCATTAAAGCTAAACGACAGATTATCTAACTAAGTTTAAAGAAAATGAAACAAAATCTAAAAGGGTTCAAAGTATATAACTTAAGCAGAACTCTAGGTAAAACTATTAGCAAAAACACAGCCAACAGTATATAATGTTGGGGGACTTGACTTAGGCAACCAAATCAAATAATTTATTTGATTATTTTTGTAGTTTTTTTCATTAGAATATCTTTTTTTAAAAGATAACATGATGGTGCTAGTTAGAGGAACTCAACCAATACACAGAGACAGTCTTTTTTTTCAATAAATTTGATGCTGCAAATAATAAGAATGTCTGGCGCAGAGGCAGTCGCAAACTTTGATGTGTCATCGAGCATCTAGGAAATGTTTATCAAATTCATTGAACCACTTTCATTCGTTTTGACATCTTTTGCTTTCTTACTTCTACATTTAGTCCCTTTTTTTTTTTTTGGTTTTCGTGAAGCTGCTCGTTGTTGTTGTTGATAATGTTGCTGTTGCTGGGCTGATGTTGCTGGTTTTTGGCTTGCAATTCTTTGCATGTTCATATTGACTTGGTTTCAATTTTATTTAGGATTTTTTTTTATACTTTTTCACATATTTTTCGTTAACTTTATGACAACTCTTGTCGAATGCGCTGAAAAATCAAAAGCAACAACAACAACAACATGTACTACAACAAATTTATGAAATGATGATGATGATGAAGAAAGGAAAACACACAGTGTTCTTACATGTTGTTATCTCATAAATGCATCATAAACGCGCATCAAGAAGGCAAACAGTTTTGTAGAGGCGACACTTTAAAAAAGTGGGATTGGATTGTAGTTGGCTAGTAGTATGAGGAGTTGGGAATACTGTTTTTTTTTTGTTGGTTTTTGACTTGATGTGATACCTTATTTCTGTGCTGCTCTTTCTTCTTTTGTTGTTGCTTGCTGCTCGTGATGATGAGTTGTTGTAGTATAGTTATTAAAACACCAGCACACGTATTGGACATATTGGGTACACACTCACCCAACAATTCAGCCAGTTAAGTTAAGAAAAGTTGACTACAACAAAGTTCACTTTATTGCCAAATCGTTTCAGTTTTTTTTTAGTTTTTTTGCTTTTAATTTTTTCATATATATATATTTTTGGATTTTTTTATTATTATTATTTTTGTGTTGACGATGATGATAATGATGAAGAGCTGATGATGGTATGTTTGGTAGTTGTTTTGTCTCGAACAAGAACTGGACAATCAAAAAATCTTTGATATTTCACTGGCGCCATGAAGACGGTTTGCTGTGTTTTTTTTTATATACCACTGGCTTGGGGTTCATATATTTATTTATTATGTATTTTATATAGAAGTATGATATAATTTTTTCTTTTAATTTTTGGCTGGTTTTTATTTTCGACAATTTTTATCCTGGACTTTTTTATTTTTAGCAAAAATATGATTTTGTTATATAACGGAGTGTAATAAGAGAAAGAAATTACAGATAAAAGATCTAGTCATTTATGTCTTTCAAAAGGATACTTCTATAGTCGGCTACAGAAAAGTTAAATTATAGAAATTTGGCACTAAACTCATTTAATTAAGAAAATCTTGCTATTTACTCAAGTAGCACAACCTGTTTCTAAAAAATTTAGTTCCGGAACGTCTTTGTTTAAGTAGCACATCCTGGTTTCCACTCAAAATTGCAACGAAACTTACTCAAGCTAAAAGTTTAACCCAAACAGCAGTGATTGCTTGAGTAGCACACACATAACCACCAATTAACAACAATTCGATTCAGATTATGTTGAGCGCTCCAGTTAGTGGTAAATGTGAATGGAAAATGTTATCGTTCAATGTTCGAAAACTCACTTTTATGGATGTTATTCCTTAGGATTTTCCAATTAGATATAGGATATTCGACGAAAGCCTGGCAATGACAGAAAAAGTGTTCATTACCGCAGGGTCTACTTATATTCGTCGGAATAGTAACATTAAAAAGAGAATGTAGGAAAGTTATATCGAATCCAAAGATACACACTTAAGCCTTCAACGCACCTGTTGTTTCTGTTGGAGATCGAACTCACCACCTCCGTACTGACAGACTAGAACACTTAATACTAACCTACCGGAGTAACGTATTCATCTCAAACCGTTCGACTCAGACTTAGTCATTCTGAGGTGGCCTATCGTCCTGCTCTCGTTAGGATATCACACAGAATTTAAGTGTTCTTACCAACATTTCATTATTCCAAGTTTGGTGGCCCCTTACCAAAGTTTCTGTTGGAGATCGAACCCACCATCTCCGTTCTGACAGACTAGAACACTTAATACTAACCTACCGGAGTAACGTATTCATCTCAAACCGTTCGTGTCAGACTTAATCATTCTGAGGTGGTCTATCGTCCTGCTCTCGTTAGGATGTCACATAGAATTTAAGTGGTCTTACCAACATTTCATTATTCCAAGTTTGGTGGCCCCTTACCAAAGTTTCTGTTGGAGATCGAACCCACCATCTCCGTTCTGACACACTGGAACACTAAATACTAACCTACCGGAGTAACGTATTCATCTCAAACCGTTCGTCTCAGACTTAATCATTCTGAGGTGGCCTATCACCCTGCTCTCATTGGGATACCACATAGAATTTAAGTGATCTCACCAAGATTTCATTATTAAAAGTTTGGTGGCATTTAGTTCGGTCCTACTTACGTCGTTGAGTTGGTATTTGCTAGATTAACTATCTCAAGCTGCCTTGACGACTAGCTAGAGTGTTGTGGTACCCAAAACATTAACTCTTCAATCATAAAATATTTCGGTCCAGTAACAAATATTTCACACCAACTTCCAAAGCAAACATTTTCACAATCTTAAATTCAGAAGATTTTCAGTAAAGATCTAAAACGGCCTTCGAATTGCATTTTCCTTGCCTGCGCTTTTGCAAAATTTTGAAAGGTATCGATTAAAGAAATAACTCAAGGTGTTCCGGCTTCGGTCTATTTTAGATACTTCCTTTGGATCTCTAATTATCTAAACCTTTAACAGTTTATGAAACTTCAGCTTTCGGTCACTGTTAGATATCTTTTCTGGATCTCATATTGTTTCATATACCAGATGATATTAGCAAATTCTCTGCAATTTCTATTACATTCTCCGTTAATTCTTTTACAGCTTTAGTTTCACTCGGGCAGTGAATGCCCGAAACGATCTGTTTGCCTTTCAGTTCCCTAGTCAACTTTATGACGTTTGATTATTTGCTCGTTTTCTAATAATACGTTGTTCTATATCTAAAGATTCACGATACTTGACTTGAAATCTTAGACGGTTTACATCATCCATCTTTATACATCTCTTATTTTGCTTCTCTTTCCAGAACAACAATAGTATTCAATCAAGTTCCCCAAGAAATACAGAAAGCTCTCCAGCGGGCCTTTACCAGTGTCTCTGGTAGGAATCGAACATACAATTTTAGAGCTGATACACTAGAACACTACCCTACCAGAGGAACACTTTAATCCCCTATATATTGATACCATTTCTGGGTTCTGTTCCGTAGCCTTTCAATTTTAAACGATAGAATGAGATTTAGTTTCTCAAAGTTTAAAGTCAGAAATCAGGATTAAATTTCTACTGAAAATATTATTTCTGCTATTGTAGGAGAAAGCATGAACTTCTTAAAAGACACACCATACAACCATTGCTGTTTCGAACCAAGCAGTTTAGTACATGTCAGACGCTTCCATTAACCATGTTGGATTTGTCTAAACAGCAAAAGTTTTGATAACCGATTGCTTTTAAGGTAACGAAACTATTGAGACCATTCACAACATAAATATGTAATTCTTCAGCAATTTTGGAATATTTAGGGCTTTTGGAAATCCCGAACCATGGTGGGTTTCATACATCGTAAATTAAATCAGAGTAGAAGACTGATTTAAACTTCCGAAATTTACGAAGAAATTTCCCATTTATACCGGGTAGAAATAAAGGCCATAACACGATTTGCTATCCCAACTAAATCTTAAAGATTTAGGTTTATGGTTCTTATAGGGCTTTGATCAAACAATCTTTGTTCAGGCACTGTCTGGCGATAGTACGATAGATGGAGTAGTGTTTCAGGGTCCCACTTCCGATTCCCAGAGAAAATATAAAATGAAACATAGGGATTACGCTTCATTTATAAAATAGGGATATGTATGCCTTCGCCATCTTGTAAACTGGGATATTTGACGAATACTTTTTCAAATCCCGGGATTTGTATTCCAGTATGGTTTTAGACAATCAAAATTATCCAAAGTGACATTTAAATTTCACTACAATCCATTTTCCTAATAGAGTTTGTTGTAAGCTTAATGCCAAGTGTAAGATAACTTAAATTAGGACGATCAAGTTCATAACCAGCAAAACTTCTTGGCGTGACGACAATCCTTAAGTTTTCCTTTTTCTAAAGGAATAGAATATCCGATAGAGAGATTATAGAATCTATTTAAATCATTTATACTTGTTTTATTTATCACTAGCGTCAAAAGAACTTCATTTCCCAAAGTCAAACGAAAACAAATTTGTCACCAAGTTACACCTTCATTTATTTTCTATTTATTTAAAACACCTCGAAAAACATTGAACAATTCCCAGTAATTTCAATTTATTGATGGCGCACCGTTTAAATCAAAATAACAACAGCAAAAGTAGTAAGCATATCAACACTTCTTTATAACCATTAAAGACGTAACAATTATTCTCGAAAGTAATAAAACACTACTCAACAAAATGTTTTCAAATGTAACACACCTTGGACGTGCCCAAAACAAAACCAAACAAAAACACTTTGTTACAGTTTAAAAAAAAACCGTCGGTAAAATTGAATATAAACAACTTACCTTCCACTTTTTGTGATGACCATTTCGGTGCCAAGTTTATGAAATTTCTCCCACAACTCTTTACCCTCCAGCGTTACCTTGGGATCGTCCACTACACCATCATCTTCCGGTTGTAGTGCACGCAGGGGACGCATGGCAGGATGTAGTTGATGGGCGACCGCAGATGCTAAAACCACGTCTTCGGCTGTGGTATAGGGTGTACCCAGCGGGTGATGAGGATGCGGATGATGCGGTGGAAAACGTAAAGGACCTGGATATAGACCGTGATGGGGACCACCTGGATTACCGGCTAAAGCAGCCAAGGCGGCCGCCGGAAAATAGGGTGGCTGTTGCGGCAAATGGGCGCCCAATGCCGGATGACCAGGTACTGGAGAATGATGTGGATGCGATGGAGGTGGTTGAGCTGGAGGTAAACTATGAGCGGCTGCTGAATGCGCTGCACTTAGAAGAGCCGACGGCAATTGGTTATTGTTGTTATTACTATTACTTAGAGGCCTATTGGATTCGTTACTGCTGTTTGTGCTGTTGTCGTTGGAGTTTAAGCCTTTAACACCACTGGGACAACTGGATTCGTTGTTGTTATTGTTATTATTGCTAGCCTCTCCAGGCGACAGTTGTGGCGGTTGTTGTCCACCCAACGGTGAAGATTGACCGCCAATACAGCCCAAGTGTTCACTTGAAACAGGATTCAATTGCTGAAGATGCTGTTGGTGTTGCTGTTGATGATGCTGTTGTTGTGGTTGTTGTTGTTGTTGTTGCTGGTGGTGATGATGTTGGGGTGAAGAAGCTGCTGGTAACGTTGTAGTACCACTAGGATCAGCTGCTGTTGTCGTTTGGTTTCCCGCCGTCAACAGCGAGGAAACGCTGAAGTCAGTGGGTCGTGACAAATGCAGAAATGGATGATATGCCATCCCATTTGCGAACCTTGCGAATGGATCTTCAGCAGACTGATGAAGTAACTCCTGGACGTCGTATCTCATTACATTACATTCAACGCTCAACGCAAGAATTTACACAAAAATCACACACACTCGACACACGGGCACTACTCAAGCACTTGAACACGCACACTGTAACGAGTACCGTCGTTTAAACAATTTTGTAGCAATAACGGTAAATTTATTTTTATTTATTTTACTTTTCTTTAAGCTTTTTCTTTGCTGTTGTTTTGTTTTAATTTTTAGTTGATTTTTTTTCTTATGTTGTTACGTTTTGTTAGAACTTGTTTGGTTTTGTTTTATTTTTGTTTTGTTTTAAATTAATTGCACATTTATTTCTGGTTGTAGTGAATTTTTAAAGCTTTTGCTTGCAGGGCTTTTTGTTGTTGTTAATTTATTATTTTATGGGTTTAATAATTTGATTTTTTTCTTTTCTTAATTAGACACCAGCTATTGATTTAATTTTTTTTGAGGATTATTAGTCAAATTAGTTGGCGTTTTGTGAAATGTTAACGAAACCAAAACCCTAGCGTTAACACAGGGCCCGGAATTATATAGAAAACGTTGACACGATAACGCTTTTTGGATAAACAACAAACAAAAAGAAAAACAACGTAATATACACACTACACTAACGATACGAGCTTAACGCCGGTCGCTTGCAAACTGGAAATACACATACAAAACGAAGAAGTGCAACCCCCAGAGGTGCGACGTAGAGGTTGAAAAAAAAACACATTTACACTAACATGAACAAGCATGCACTACAGAAATTGTACTCATTATACGAATACACTCTCAACTGTTTGACGTTTATGTGAAAAAGCAAAGAGAAAGAGAGTATAAAATAAACCGGTTTTAATGGGATTCCAATTGGAATGTAAAAAATTACTCAAAAATTTTGTTTTATAGAAGATATGATTAAAACTGAAATATGTTTTAGAGTGAGTGTTAAAGTGTATGTGTTTTTGGAAGAGAGGTAGAGAGAGAGAGTAAGTTGTTTAGGGAGAGCCAGTTAAAGAGAGATTTAGTAATCAAAATTATATAGAGGCAACAACAAAACAATTATTAAAATATGAAAAAAAGTGCTTTGGTGACACAAACACCAGACAGACGTTTACGACGAAAACGACGACACCGAAAAGTTAAACACTAATAAAAAGAGATTTGAACTAGAATGTATAACCCCCCACACTTTTGCAACACCAGGACAGAACAAACAAACAAATTTTGTGTATATAGGGGTATTGAAAAGTCTTTGGTGTGAAAAGAGATAGACTTATAGCACCAGCACCAGGTGACAATAAGTGAAAACATTATTATCAACACATATTTTACACACATACACTGCCATACATATATAGGGACATGCATAGGGTCTTAGCTTTATAATAAAGGTAGAACGATATTTACAGTGTTTTGAGATTTGTTAATAAAAATTGACAAAAAAAAAAAAAAGAAGACAAAATTCTGCAGTAGTTGGGCTTTTAAGGAGCTAGTGACAACTTCTCACACTATAAATGACAAGAAACATTTGCACCTAATGATAAGTTTACCATAAATGGTCTTGCGAATAGAAAGAGATGGCTTTATTTGGTTTTCCTAGGTGATTAATAACACGAACTAACAAACTAACACATCCTAATAAGAAGATAACAAACCAACTATAAAGGAAACCAGGGATAAAACGGATTACAAAACATTTGTCAACACTAAAACCATACTCCCCCCCCCCCCCAAACCTAACCCCAAACGACCAAGAAACAGCTTCAAGAGAAGTCAACTTTGATGACAAAAATAAATCTAGAAGAAAAAGAAAATTAGTCACTTCTTTTTCCTTCTTAATAAGGAAAGCTAAAGCAGCGACAGCAGTAATATAACAAGCGCCAATGTCTCCGATATATACCCCCCCGCCTCACCTCTACAAAACGTAAGAGTGTGAATGAATAGGCGACAAATAAACGAAAGAACGACACAACCATTAGCTGGTTTATGCTCTAAAAAGGGAGAAAGCTTTATGTGACAATTTACACAAGAGTAAAAGAACAAGACGTAAAAATCTTCTAATACACACACTTGCACTCACTAACACACACACACACAAACAAACACTTTACATAATAACTGTTTACGGGAACTCTAAACTCGAGTCAGTCCGAGAAAACGTTGACAATTGCTGAGTAGTTCAAATACTAATCTAAGAGCAAGATTGTGTGACAAGTTTTTACCACAAATAACAACAACAATAAAAAGAACTACACTCGCACACATCTATAATAAAACGACAAAATTTCTGTTAGCAACTCAAATGGCTGAGACATTTTACTCCCTAACAGACACCCCACCAAAAACAACAAAAACAAACAAAAAAGAAATGGTTGGGTTTGTTTCACAAAACCTAACCAGCATAAGTGCGAAAGGGACAAAATGTGACAACCAACACACAGGCAACAAAGATGACTCTCATACATACAAACACTCGAAACAGAAAAATAACAATGCAAAACAAATAAAACAAAAACACCAAAAAGGTGAGTATCTCTTAAATATCTGAATAAATGTGTGTGTGTGTGTGTTTGTATCTCAATAATAAGAAAAAATTCACAATACAGCAACACTGCACTAACCAGAGCAACAAAAACAAAAATAAGAAAAAACCAACAAGAACAAAAGCAAAGCATACAAACAACAACAACAACAGCAAAAAACAAGATGTGAGCGTCAAGAACCACACTCAAAATGGTGTGATTTAGATACTTTGACCAACCAAACGGCGCGGGGATATACCGCGCCATTTAACACATACACACAAACACATATATACACACTTATAAAAAAGAAAAACTGGTTGTAGCTCTATGTGTAAACTGCTGCTGTGTTGTTGCTGCTGCTGCTGCTGCAGAGTACGTACGGAACACACACTGCAAAAAAGACAATTAATGCCAGTGACTGGTGTCAATTTACGCGCGGCATTTTACACAGATCCCTTATGTGTTTTTTATACTTTTTGTTGTAATCTATGTACCTACATACATATGTATGTATGTGAGTAAGTGTGTAAAGTATGTATAGACTGGGTAAATAAATATGTTTAAATGTAAAGTTTTATTTACAAATCAGTGCAAATATAACAGCCAACAACAACAGCTACATATAATAATGACGCTACAGCAAAAAGGGGGAATGTTAATAACGATTTATGGACACTCTCTTTGTTTATACATATGTGTGTGTTTGTCGTAGGGACATTATTTATACAAACATTTCGCATTGCGTTAAACAATGACCATAAAACGCCTTAAATTATCTATGAATTTAAAATAACATACAGCAACAACAGTAACAATAACAACCTCAACAGTTATAATAAAATGTTAAGTAAACAATTGAATTGATTTCTTGTTTTTTTTTATAACAACAACTCCCGCACGAGCCCTTAAAGTGATTTTCAATTTAAAGTTGAAGATTTGTTTAAAAAAAGGAGTGTAAAAAAATTCTAGAAATTTTTCTTGAAGTATAATCATTACACTTTTTTAAGAATTAAGTAACTTTAAAAAGAGACACTTTTCATTCAATGTATGAAATGTTCATAAATAGTATGACATGATGATTTTTCTATTTTTTTAATAAATTTCTTAAACATTTTACTAAAAAGTTTAGATTTTTTCACTTCATTAAAACCAAGAGTTCATAGAAAGACGTTTTTTTCTCAAACTATTTTCATTCAGTATAAGAAATGTTCATAAATAGTATGTCAATGAACATGACAATATATTGTATTAATTTTCGTTAAATTTAATTAAAAATCTTAGAATTTTGAGCAATTCTCCAAAACCAAGAAGGCACAGAACATTTTCATTCAGAATATGAAAAGTTCATAAATAGTATGACATTGAACTTGACATTTTTTTTGGTTTATTTACACAGGAAAGAGTTAATCTATGACTGGAATGAATGTATTAATAAATATACAGTATGAAGCGAACATGATTTTTTCATTCAGAATAAGAAAAGTTTGTAAATATTATGACATTGAACATGACAAATTTTTTTATTAATTTTCTTTAATATTTCATTAAAAATCTTCGAATTTTTAGTAATTCTCCAAAACCAAGAATGCACAGACCGCTTTCATTCAGAATTTGAAAAGTTCATAAATAGTAAAACATTGAACAGGATGATTTTTTTATTAATTTTCTTTAATATTTCATTAAAAATCTTAGAATTTTTAGCAATTCTTCAAAATCAAGAAGGCACAGAACATTTTCATTCATAATATGAAAAGTTCATAAATAGTATGACATTGAACATGACAATATTTTTGGTTTTTTATATAGGAAAATGTTAATCCTTGACTTTAATGAATTTATTAATAAATACACAATATGAAGCGAACATTATTTTTTTCTCAAAACATTTTCATTCAGAATAAGAAAAGTTCATAAATAGTACAACATTAAACAAGACGCTTTTTTGTGTTTTTTTTAGAAATTTTCTTTAATATTTCATTAAAAATCACAGATTGTCTGATCACTGAATGATTTTTATTAAATAATTTGAATCGAACGTAATCTTTCTTCCAAAACTATTTTCTTTCGGAATACGAAATATTCATAAATACTATGACATTGAAAATTACGATTTTTGTTTCGGTTTTCTTAGTAATTATTTTAAATATTTCATTAAAAATCTTAGAATTTTTAGCAATTCTCCAAAACCAAGAATGCACAGACCATTTTCATTCAGAATATGAAAAGTTCATAAATAGTATGACATTGAACATGACCATTTTTTCATAACTTGAACGAATTTTTAAATAAATAGTATGAATCAAACATGATTTTTTCTCCAAAACATTTTCATTCTGAATAAGAAAGGTTCATAAATAGTATGACATTCAATAGAAAGATTTTTTTTACTTTTTTGCAATTCTTCTTAAACAAGAGCACACAGGAAAAAGTTGATTCATAACTGGTATGATTTGTTCCCTAACCATTTTCATTAAGAATAAGAAAGGTTCATAAATAGTATGACATTGACTCTTTCTTAATTTCTCTTCGCAGAAAAAATAACCGAATTTTGAAACAATTTAGCGCCCTCTATATGCAGTCTTATAAACTTCACAAACTTTATTGTAAAGACTCAACTAGTCCAGTACCTTAAATCTTAGATGTTTTACAGATCTGAGTTCTATTTAATTCAAAATTTATATATTTTTTAAACAAAAATTTAACAATCTTTTCGTTTAACTTTGCCCCTTAACAGCGCCCCCTATGTTAAAATTTGGTTTCTAAAATAGCCCTAATCTAAAAGCTAAACTTTGTCTGAATTTCTTCTCCGAAATTTGTTAAGTTTGGAGTGATCGTTAAGTTAAGTTTTATAGTTATTATTAAAATTAAAATAATGTTTGTAAAAGCTCAATAAAATCAAGTTTGACGCTACCTAGCGCTCTCTGTATTCGATCTTAATAACTAAATAAACAGTATTTTGAAACCTTAATAAGTTCTGACTCTATAAAACAAATATTTTATAGATCGAAGCGGTTATATAAAAGCGTTCAACGTTCCCCTTTAACCAAATATATAACATATTGTTATTGACATTATTCTGCTTTCTAAAGGGTTAAAAAACTGCTCCTAGCATAGCTTTATAG